AAATGTCTTTTGATGGTGGGGAAAATGGGTGACGGCTGGGATGGGCATAGTGGAATGGCAGTGAGTTTGTTTAGGACCAGGGCTCAGAAAGCAAACTTGTACCATGGGACCGGCAAGTATATAGTTTCAAATTAAACCAGTGTTCAAGCTGAAGAGGCAGTTTTGGGGTGAGTAGCAGCAGATGGACAGAAGGTGGTATTGGAAGTGCTGAGAGGCTTGAGGGTTCAGAATAGGAACTGGTACCAAGACAGGAAAGCAGATCAGACTTGTTAAGAAAGCAAACTAAAGGTAAAGTTCACTGTTTCCAGGTAAGGTAGAGACTCAAGCCCACTGAGAGTTGTTCCAAGGCATTTGTTGGGGCTCTTGGTTCTAAGATTCTTTAATTTTAGATAAACACTTGACTTGGAAAGTTTCTGGAAACTCCAGTGCTTCTCTCTATTTATGAGAGCTGTCTTTTCCTTGGCTGGAGATAGTAGTGTGCAATCTCAAGCAAAGCATTGCTTGCTTTCTTTTGCTTGAACACATGGAGCCAACTGATACTGAATTGTACAGTTCACCCATCTAGCATGTCTGAACTGGTGGGACTGAGAAGTCTTTCTTAGTATTACTGCCCTAAAGTCCTTTTGGTCAGAGAACCTATGATCCTTTGCATGTACGGCATGTTCAGTACGAATGACTTATAGGCCTCTCCTTTTGGCAAGGTTTTAAAAAGCTTTGGATCACTTGGTGCAAACCAGCTGGTCCATAATTTCTGTTTAAAGGATGGGATTCTTAAATCATAACTATCCTGCAGCTGGTAATTGTAGTTTGAGCGCTACAAGAATTGATCAATCGTTCTGGGTATGACGTTCAGAAATTGCCTAGAAGCAATTTTGAATTGAAAATGTTTTCCATGAATATATGTTTCTCCTCTGCTAGACTTAAGGTAGTAATGAGGCAACTCATCAAAAGATTGTGAAACTCAGCAAGTTAGAGACTATCCTTTAATGTGGATCTTCTACATTTTCTGAGCATCTAATCAAGTGATGGCAATGGAATTCACTTGTATATTATTGTAATAATAAGTTAGTGAGGCATGACTTTCCCTTCCTGTTGCAATGTTAGCTATTCTTAGCAGTGCTGTGTTTTTTCCAAATGATTGCTTAAATAGTTTGTAAGATTACCCAATAACATGTGTCAGACCAATTCATCTACGATTTCCTCATGAGTCCCCCCCTTCCTCCTTAAAATTGTCCTTAGTGTACTTCAGAACTCTGCTGTGTAGTTGGAAATGCCTGTTGTAGATATTTTAGTTGGTTCCTAGATGTTTTGATAAGGTTGGCCTCCTTTTTGTTCTGGAATCAGTTTAATTCTTGTAAAATCATAAACGTAACATCACAAATATAAAGGTTTTATTTGTGAAGGGAAGGTTTAATTGCAGTTATCAGCAGAACTGTGACGGGCTTTTAACCACATCCATGAACTGTTGAGAGTGTTCTCATGGGATTGTCCCATTTGTGAGATATGGGCAGTTGGTTGTCAGGTGTTTGAGGGTTCAGTCCCAGGTTCCATATATTTATCAGGCAATGCCAAAGGTGGAAAATGACTGACTGCTTCAAAATATGTTGGTGCTTAGGAATTTGAAGTATTTCTTTAGCCTTGCAGAAGCCTGGTTTCCATGTTCCATTCCTCATCTCATCTTTCACTTTTAGGGCATGCTCCATAAGCAGTGAAAGAGGGCCAGCGTTGGAGTATAGTTTAATATGTCTTAAATATCTTTGCCTTTTCCATATTAGTGGCTGAAAGATATTCACTATTTGGGTGAAATATATTAACATAGAAGATCACTAATATGGATGATCCTAAGAGCAAGAGATTCAATATTTGGGTGAAATATATTAACATAGAAGATCACTAATATGGATGATCCTAAGAGCATTTTATAATCTGTTCCTCAAATTCTTGAATCAGCAGAAGAGAAACTGAAAGTGTGTCCTGCTCTATATGGAATTTTTATATGATGTACAAATGCACATAATTCAACACTCTACTTAGTGTTGCTTGCAAAAATGCTTTATGTGTTTGTAGACCTGTTGAGAGAATTAATGAGAATTTATGTACACTTTTTAAAATGGGTATTCTTTAAATTTAAAACCTGTAATTTTGAGAAAGTTCCTAGTTTTGCAGCAAGTTAGCACTAATGTATGTATTTAATACCATAGTTCTTCAGTACTGTTTAACTTTATGGCATAAGGCATTTCCTTTCTCAAAAGATCATCTGACTTGGATTCATGTTACATTATTAGTGTACCTAATAACTAGATTTATGGTTCAAGCCATATCTGTTCATCTTTTTTGTACTTCGTGGTGAAGTAGAGCTCCTGGTTATTCCCCCCATCTTTTAATAAAAGATATTGAAAGTTCTCCTTAGAGAAGGGGTTCTCCTTCATCAAGGCTCTGCATGTGGATTCCTTGATGTTTAATATACTACTGGTAAGTTGTTTTGAGTTTCTTTGAATTGAATAAGTGCAATTTTTAACTGTTCACCCCTGCCTAACTAGGTGGAAAGGTTAGATGTAAACCTTTTAAATAAATAAATGAGCTTGTGTTGTTGGTGGATACACAAGTTAGTATTATTGCTAAGAGCACATTCTTTCCATTACACCTTGGTCACAAGCTGGCCCCACAGACATAGTCATGTTGATCCATGCTATTTTAATCTCCAAAATACACTACTGTAATATGCTGCCTTTGTATGTCGGGCTGCCTTTGAAGACCGCTAAGAAGCTTCAATTGCTACAAAATACAATGACAAGACCAGGCCTGTAACCAGAAACTTTTTGGTGCCGGGGGGGGGGGGTGTGACGTCACAAAACCCCCACAAAATAATAAAATAAAAAATCTTTGTCCTCTGATATAATTTTAATTTTAACAGTGTGCTGAGACTGTTATCTGCCACCTACTCGTCAATTTTCTACATGATTTACCTGAAAAAAACCCAATAAAAGCATATTTTATAGCCCATCTTTGGAACATCTTCCTCTTCTGTAGCCTGCAGCCACTTGTCCTCCCTGTGGCCTGAATAGTATAAAGAGACACTGAGGCCCTTTGGCTCTCCCTCCTGCAGATGCTGCCTTCCGGCCCACAACAGCTTAAGTTTATTTGCTCAGGAAATCACTTCCACATTTCCCAGGTGCCGCGCTCAAGTATTTTGTCTCTGACCTCACTTTCTGGGTGGGAGGCAGTGGCAGCTGTTGCTGCATGGGACTCCAAAGCCCAGCCGTCCATCTCTGGCCCCACAGAGCCCTTGGCTTTCCCAAAACTCTCCAGTGGGAAAGGGCTTGGAGGAGCTCCCGTAGGAAAGGGCTAGTGGAGCAAGGGAAGGAGGTGGCCCGTTGCCCTCCTGCAAGTTGTGACATCTGAAGTGGTTCTGCTCCCAGCGCCACTCTTGTTTCACCCAGCTCGCCAAAACTTTGCCTGTCCCTTTGAGGCCTGTTGGCGCGGCTCTTCTCAGGGAAGCTCCAGCCAGACTTATTTGCCCTGGGGCCCCCTTTTGTTCCCAGAGCTGACATTGACTGGGCCTCACATCCCACGCCACCCCTCCACCGCTCCCATCCTGATGGGCAAGGTTCGGAGGGAATGCTGGGGGCGGCAGAGCAGGAAGGGGTTTCTGGCAGCATGACTTGTGGGTGTGGCTGATAAGTGAGGGGCATGGCCCTGATATGCCCCATGATAGCTATGGTCCTGTGCAAGACTCCTGTCAGGGGTCAGCCATGGAAACCTATCACTCCAGTGTTCCATCAAATGATGTATATAGGCAGTTGCCAATCTTGCAGGGTGGTACCATAAAAGAATTTAACTGTTTATGTAAAAATAGTACCAACCATCTTTTCCAGTTACATGATATAATTGCTTCTCAGCTTTTCACCTGGGATGCATTTTATACAATGTAAATTTTAGTTTTAAGAAAATGTTTGTGGGAGTGAGCCCTGTCGAATAAAATGGGATTTACTTCTGAGTAGACCGGTTAAGATTGCTCCCATCACTGTCTAAGCCCAGTAATCTCAAATGTGAAGCTTCTCAGAAGTGCATTAGAATATTCTCTGCTAAATTATTTTTTTCATGATACTGGATATCTCTGTGCAATAAACTTGTGCATGGTTCTCTTCCACCCAGAGGATCTGTGTGGGCACAGCTATACTACATACTCAGCTAGTCTGTTGCTCCCTTTCAGTATAGAACTCTGGGAACTATGGTGGTGAATGATAATTTCTGAGTACTTTGACCCAACTTCAGTTTCCAAAATGCGTTGAGAGAAGCTATACCGACTAAACTGATATCTACGCTGCTGGCTTTCCCATTTTCATATATGCCCTAATACACTCTTTACAACAACCTCCTAAAACTACAGTTCCTTGATTTTCTTGAACAATTTATTTGATTTATCCTGAGAGCCAGTTTGGTGTAGTGGTTAAGTGTGCGGACTCTAATCTGGGAGAACCGGGTTTGATTCCCCACTCCTCCACTTGCACCTGCTAATGTGACCTTGGGTCAGTCAAAAGCTCTGGCACAGCTGTCCTTGAAAAAGAGCAGTTTGTGTCAGAGTTCTCTCAGCCCCACCCACCTCACAAGGGTGTCTGTTGTGGGGAGGGGAAGGGAAAGGAGTTTGTAAGCCGCTCTGAGACACCTTTGGGTAGTGAAGGGCGGGGTATAAATCCAATCTCTTCTTCTTCTTCTTCTTCTGAGTTATTTACATCAACACTAAAAGCCGTGATCTGTACTCATTCGTGCCTTGCCAGAATTCTCAGTAGCATTCTGTGATTCTGCCTGTATTACCTTCTGCTTGTTTGTTCTGTCACCGTATCCTGCAAATCTAATTGATAGGAAACAAACATTAATAATTGCTTATGTGGTTAATGGTTAGTTAGATCAGCAGAGATACAAGCATAATTAATTCTGAAGATATTGCTCTTCTTTTTAAAAAACATAACTTTTATAGCATCTTTTAATTTTCAAATTAGGAAATGCTACATCACCACAAGCACAGCGCCCTTCTTTTATGGACTATTTTGATAAGCAAGATTCCAAGAACAAAAGCCATGAAAACTGCAATCAAAACATGCATGAATCATACCATATATCAAAAAATGTTTTCCCGGATAACTGGAAGGTCCCTCAAGATGGCGATTTTGATTTTGTAAGTATTTTTATACAGTTGGATTTTGCATGGAATTCACAAAAATATTTATTGATTTAGAGAGTAATCTTAAGCAGTTCTACCCAGAATTCCACTCAAGTCTGTTAAGTGGGACTTACTCCCAGGAAAGTGCTTTATTAGTCTTTATCTTTCTACATGGGGCTAGAAGTCTACAGTTCTTCTATGACTAATATTTGCACTGCCTCAGTGCTGCAAAGGAAAGATTCAACCAGGGATTTCTTCTAGAATACTGATTATCTCTCTCTTTCGGCAAGTAAAGGTTTATCTATTTCAGTCTGTTGGTTAGAAATTGCACTAATTAATGCATATGCAACCTAGCACTTATTAATTTACTTTTCTTACAGCTTCAGTTGTGGCTTGGTTCCAACTATTCTCTTGGAGCAATACAATTAAGAGACAAACAGGGACAGAAGATTCCTAGGAATACAGATTTCCTAAAGGCATGACATATTTCTACATACTATAAAGGGATATAATCTCAGTCTGCTAGAAACGGCTGTATGCTGTAGTGAATACCATCTATATACTAATACTGAACTGGCCCCGTGCATGCGGATATCTAAATCCGCGCTCCGGGGCTACCTGGGGGGCAGGGAGAGGTTTGTGCCCACGTGTGCACAAAAATCGAAAAAAACCCCAAAATATCGGGGGGATATTTAAATCCCCCCAAAACTGACAGAGCGTTTCCTGCGCATGCACAGGAAATGCTCTGCCGCCAGCGTCGCCGCCTCGGAGCCGGGCGGGCGAGGGGGGGGAACAGCCGGCCTCGCCGCCGGCCTCGCTT